TTTTGGCTACTATGGGTGTCACGAACTATTTGACGCTGACTGTACTCACGTGTAGATTGTTTTTTCCATACTTGCAAATAGAACTGAAATAATTGTACCAGACAGTCATTCATTATTATGTATGGAACGCGCTATTTTTGATACCTGTTTGAATAATGTAGAGACAATTAAATTATAATTATGTTAATTTAGGCTTTGTTAATTTTTCATTAGTATGAGTTTATAAGTTTTTAGCCCTACTCGAAGTTGTGAAAATCAATCATATTAAAATAAAATCCTTTGGCGATTAGTACCTACAATATTGAAATTACAACAAGTTTTCAAGGAGTACCATCAAGCCCGTATTGTTTAAAATGAAAAGTAAATAACTAAGGCAATTAAAAATTGGAAAAGGGAGGTACTTTGCAAGTAATTTTAGATTCGCAGCACATGATTATTTCCCAACTGCTATTAGATAATTAAATACGATAAATACTCGTAGTAGTTTCGGGGTCAATATATACCTACATAATACAAGCGTACATAGTTAAAAAATCTATGCCAAGTAGCGTTACATAGTTAACATTACAAACATCTATTTCTACATGTTTGTTTATTTTTTAAAGAAATCATCTAATCGTTATTTAAAAGATTAGTCTAACTTTAAATTACACAACAAAACATCAGACAAATTACTATTATTAAAGTTATGTTTGTTTATTAATCGTATTTTCAATTAATTATTTCTCACCTTTGATTGCAAGCATTAAAATGTTTATAATTAGTAACTGAAAATTTCTCAATACCTACACCATAACGCATCGTTAATAATTTTAATCCGTTATGAATGTTAATCAATCATAACAATATTTACGAAATCACAACTTAAAAATAAAATTGCTTGTATCGCTAATTGCTTTAATAGTTAGTTTTTATTTCTCGTAAAAGGATGCAATGTCTATGACCAGTACAGACTAGTATTGACCAGATATATTAATCACTGGTCCAATTAGGAGTCGAAACCACTAAATGATAGAGGTAAATGATAGTCAGGCTGCATGCGCGTGCGAATCTAAGTATACTCAGCGACCATGAAAATTGGCATTTAGCCGGGGCATTCCCATCTTTCCCCAACAGACTTACCCTGAAGAGGGGAAATGGGAATTACCTTATGAAGATCAAAGAACAATTTTAGTAACAAATAAAGCCGAAAAATATTGACTATATAAACTGTTTTTATATCTGGAAATTTAAGTACCTAAGCCTAACTTTGGTTGCCGATTATAGGACTGTAGAGGATACTGAAACACTTCACGACTATACGACTCCAAATTCAATCAATTTTCAAAACTACCAGTTACTGTTGGCGCTGATTGTACCTAATACCTATCATGTGTAGTTACGTCAGAGTGGGTTTACCCTGAAAAAGTGAGAGGACTTACCCGAACGGAGACCGGTGCCATGAAAATAATACAAAACAAAGTTACACTACCTAAGAATATAACTATTTCTGCACTTTATTATCTTGGTACAAGGAAAAATTTCTTTCCTTATAATTTTGGCAGTAACAAAATTAACTGCCAGCATTTATTATTACGTGTAGCTCAGTGTACCTACCATGAGTTTACGTTAGGTGTGCTCGCTAGCGAGTACGTCAAAAATCTCTATGAAGATTTTGTTTCTTGAAAGTAGCCGCTAGGGGCGCTGCACAATATGTCATACAATTAAATGTCATTTTTTACGCAGTCGCTAGCGAGCACACCTAACGTAAACTCATGGTAAGCACACTGAGGGCGTAGTGTGAGTTTACGTCAAATGCATTCGATGTCGACTACGTAAAAAAGTGACATTAAATGTATGACGGATCGTACAGCGCCCCTAGCAAACTTTCAAGAACTAAAATCTTCATATGTTTTAACGCCTTTGCTAGTAATGACGTTTGATATAAACTCACACTAAGCCCTCAGGTGATAGATCCCCTTGCTAAAATTCTACTGGTGAACCTCTACTATACGTATTCATGATTAAATTTTATCAAAGCAATATTTTAAGCCTTTTTTGTCATCTATCATCTACTGGAGAGAAGTCAAACCTTTACTTAGAACTCCTCCTGTATTCTTCTGCTTAATTTCGTTGCGGGTCCGATGACAGTTTAACTTTCCCCCGGAACAAACTTGACCTTCACTGGTTGTGTTTTTATTGGTGGTCAAGCTGTAAGTAAATCGTGGCTACACAGGAGTTGCAGCGGTGGGAACGATAAGTGGGACTATTGACAAAATCCTAATCGTCAAATGTATGCTACCTTTTAAGGAAATCCTTTGGATCGCAATTATTTATCTGCGATTTTCCTGTGGTTTATACCAACTGACTTTGTGACTTTAAAAACTTGTGGTAACCGTTTAAAAATTAAAAAAACCCGAAAACAATTTATTTAGGTAAAATTTTACCTACTTGAACAGGTAAATAATTGGTTTTTGCTTTGGAGAAGATCATATAGGTTTTCTAAGCAACATTATGTATAAATGATGAGATAGAAGAACAGTTACAAAATACTGCTGCAAAATGAAAGTGTTTTTCGCTTAGTCTGTTATTAGGTACTTTGGTATTTTATGTTTATGTCTTACAGAGTGTAAGTGTGTATGCAACAGAGTTTTATAAAGGTGTTTTCTTCGTCATTAGTTACGTACTCATTCAGTCATGTTAATTTATGTATCAACCAATGTCGACTTGCTACAAACATGGAAATAATTGCTGATTTCAATTGAAGATGTTCTCTCATTTTTTACATTTACATACCGATATAAATACACCTTATGTAATGTAACTTGTGATCTTTATTTATTTTAATGCTGCGCGTGGAAACCAACAGTGGAAAAATCTGTAGTAGGTAGGTACATGTGTTTTACGGACCGATCGACAAATTGTAAACAATTATTCAGAGCTATTAACTTTATCAGGTGATATTAAGTGAATAACTTAGAATGTCCTTGTTTCTCGAGTTTGTTTTTTTAAATACGTGAGTAGGTATGTAGTAGCTCTACTTACTTTGTTGACATTTTAATAGTCGTAGATATTTTAAATGTACCAGACGTCGGTGTAAGGGCATTTATTTTTAATTTGTTGCTAAGATACTGATAATATAGAGTTAAGTTGACAACTTGAGAGTATAATATACATAGGTCCTAATGAGATACATTATATTCTTTTCACGTAATTTTAAAATCAACCTTCACAATAACCCTTTCTAACCTAATCTACACGTGGCAGTAAATGGCAATACAGTATTTTGGAGTTCAGCACAAAAAGATTCCTTTAAATTTCTAAAATTTCAGCTAAGTCATCCACATCCTTCAAAAAAATAAGCGCGTGCAGATCGCCATCGTAAATAGAATTGATTTTCCATCACTAAAAAACCATACTTTTGCGCTACTATCATCACAGATATTTTATAAATACCAGAACGTGCTTTCAAATTGACATGTTACTACACAACTTTGTATTTTATTTGCGACTAACACCCGTAAAAAACTAGTACATATTCACAAATGGCAACAGGAAAAGATAGTTCAATGGATAATCTTTAACAATGTGTCGTACGAGCTAACAATAGAAGTTTCAATAAAGAATGAAAATATTATGTACTAACGTATCTTTGATGAATATGTTAAACTAACTTAATGTATAGCTGATAGCATATAGACATGCATTTTTGTTGCAAAATCTTAATAGATATTGCAACTAAGTAAGATGTCACAGTATGTAATTGTGTATGGATATGCCATAGTCTGATCTTCTTACGTTCTCCACTTCTATTGTTTGGGAATTATTTATCGTAATAACTAGGGCCAGCATAAGCATTTGAATTGGGCTCAAGAGGTAACGTGAACCGATCCTGATAAGATAAATTTACAGGCAGCCAGGTTGATTCCCCTGGATTGTCCTTGCCAAACTAGAAAATATATAGTAATGATACGATTTTGACCTCGCGGAGAATCAAACCCAAAGCCCCAAGGTTAAAAAAGTCCAACTCTACTAGACCATGGAGGTATTCCGTCAACCTAGTCATTCATGTCAGTAATAATAAAATTATGAGGATAAAAGTACACTTGCCGCTTTAAGAAATTCCGCATTGAAGAGATCATAGTGCACGTCCATAAAGTATGAATTTGATCTATAAAAATCCATTTCGGAACAACGAAGTTTACATTTTCAAACTAGTCTTACAAGTAGGTACTTTTGGTTACTTTAATTACAGTAATAAAATGCAAATAAATTACAAGACCCGCACAATTTTCACATCTATTTTTTTTACAAGAGTTCGACAGTAAAAAATAATTACGTCTCAATAACTACGAAAAATTACGAAACGTATCACTAATCGATTATACGCGGCAGAAATTATACATTTTGAAATTCCGAGGTTAATGCAGACGTAATAAAAATGCATTAAACACACGCTCGCTTATTAAACAAAATTAACTATTTGACTTACGCTGACTTTCAATTTCTTCAATAACATTTAAATAAATAAATACGCAAGCAACTTATGGTAAAGACGGAAATATCAAAAAATATGTTATCAGGCATTTTTATTGTTGTGAGTGCACTTACTTAAGTGTTTTATTGATTGTCTTTAATTTAAAAGCCTTATGCATCAAGGCTTAAATAACTTCAATGACTTTTTAATTGTTTTTGAACAATACAAAGTACTTATGTACTAAGTGGTTATGTAGACCTAAGTGACCTTTTATTATGGAAAACGCTCTACTTTACAAAATGGACTTCGGATTAAAAAAAAACTTTGAATAAAAGTCAAGGCCTTTCGCAGTCTATCGCAATCTCTACACATTTTAATTAAAGCATCATAAACTAATCACATAAACAATAAAAGGCTGGTTTTGAGTATACTGATAAAATAAAAATATCTTAATGTAAGTACTAAGTATTTAATTTTTAAGTAAATAGAAAATTCCTTTCTACTTTCCTTATCTTTTATGTCAGTAAATAAAAAACGTACTTACCTCAGATATTCCAATTCAGGATTTGATTATCCGTTAGTTTTTTTGTTTTAGAACGTTTTTTGAATTTCGAACGCAGTTTCCGTTTGTTTACATTCAGTTAAGCACTGTAAAGCGCGTGCGCACGACTGACGCAGCGCGTTGAGACTGCGCAGCCGCAGCGTGACATTGTCCCGAGTGATGACCATAGATCAATGACATGCATGTAGGCAAAAAAGTAGAGCTGTTTTATGGTACAACGGCACATCGAGCTAAATCTTATAGCACCTTATGCAGTTGTATTAAATGCGATTTTGGAACAAAAAGTACCAATATTTTGGCGAGCTGAAAGGAAATGTTATGCCGCAATGAAAAAAATAATTAATTGTAAACAAGTAATAAATGAATGTCACATTTCTTAAATAAGTGTAATCGTAGTATTATATCAGATCAAGAAGATCCATAATAGAAATAGCAAAACTAATCCACGTGCATTTAATAGAGTAGTAACTTATGACCTCTCTACTAGGTTCGACAAAAAATCGCATAGCAGTTTGTTAATGGATAATTAATGAGATTGTTTTATTTTTCATCAAACTAGAACACATTAAACTACCTACGTTTAACTTTGATTCATCACGGCCTTGACTAATTTTACGTTTGTCAGACAGTAAAAATATACCTATGCACAATATTGTTTGACAAAATGCTGAATCACCATCGTTCCTATTTTTTTTTTGATAAGTATGTACCTACTTACCCTTAATTTTAAGCACTAATCAGTCATCTGTTACAGAATTCAAGGGCGTAAAGAGTAGGTACTTTCGAGTAAATAAATTCAAAACCGAGTCATTTCTGCAACAGTGAAGGCAGTATTTAATCTTTGACTAGGCAGCTACCTATAAATTCGCAGCCTTGCGATTCAAGTAATTACATTTTATCTTAACAATGCCTTAGGATTGCTAATCAAATGGCAAGTCGTTAGCACACGTTTATGTTATCTGAGAATCCTACTTGTTAAGTGTCTGTTTATCTTGTTTTCTTTTCTTGTAACCAATTATATGAAAAGTCACTATTGTCAATAACTTTTTGGGTAAAAGTAAAAAAAAACTATAATGTTTGAATTTGCTACAGCTACATCAGAATTAAAGGTTCAAATGACATACAAGGTTTCCAGTTACCTTTGTAAGTAAGTAGGTAATTACTTAATTATTCTATCCGCATTAGACTTAAATTCTTCAAGAGTTTTTCTCTTGTTTTTTAAGTTTTCCTCACACAAAAATATGCTGTTTAAATAGTCAAAAAATTATACTTTTAGTATTAAAAATCATCAAACTTTTTGTCAAAGCTACAGTACGTACTACCAGGCCTGTTCATCTCCGCGAGTTTACATCGAAAACAAAACACGCACGATGGCCCACCTACAGGATACTATTCGACAAGGCCTCACATACGAGCGAACATTGACATTGACGCACGCGTATTCTTGTGTATGATTGATGAAAATAAAGAAAATGGTGTACTAAATACTGTGCAGTATTTAAGTGCCTAAATAATATTATAAACTCAGAATGTACTTTTTTAAGTTGCCTCAAGACACTGAGAGGTAATTATTAATTAGTTAATATTATTCATGATAATTCATGCTAAATCATGTATTTCCTCCGCCATTTTCCGCAGTTTGGCACCTCACGTCACATCATTTTACCGAAGTCAGCCCTTTAACTTCGGCGCAGTGCCGATCACTGACGTTTGTCAACAAAATGGTGCTTCAGTCTTGAGACAGGCTAAATTACACCATATTGTTAATGACATTGAGCATACATTTTTTTAAATACCTGTTACCTACCTATTATTATTCTGTGGTACTACATAATTCCAGGGAGTGATTTGGCTTTCATTTAAATCAAAGTAAAAAATCCATTTTGATTTTTATTTGACGTAAGACCATCATAAACTATCTTAGGTAATTTACCAACGGAGATTGACTGACGTGAACTAAGATGATTTAAATAAAATCTCTGCGGTTACCAATGACATAGGAGTTACTTATTATGTAAACAACTTACAATGTAGAGGTGGCAAATAAACCACCTCTCTACACTTACTCTAAAATCTTAATCTTAATTTTTAATCAGTCGAATAGTGTTTTTAAATGATGGAATTCTCTCACGAAAAGTCAGCTTGATTACGTATAATACAACGTGCTCTTTTTGATTTCCTGAAACTCTAGGGTATTAACCCTCAATGAGGATCATTTCGATTTTTAGCTGTGAATGCAGATTTATAGGGCTAAGAAATCCTTAATACACAGTGCAAAAATTTTTGTTCTACGACAAAAANTGCTTGAGTAGCTTCCTTTGGTGTCGTGGCCAACTCGGGGGCGAGAGGTCGTCTGCGTGCGCATCACAGAAAGTTGAGTAATTGACACTTGCGGAGTCCCGTGGACTCCACCATACACTTTGCGTAACAAAAAATTGTATTATGATATTATGGTTTTTTTTTTAAATTATGGTTTATTTACGGTTTGAGTGGATCAAAAAAGCATCAAACAGTCACAATACATGATTTATCAATACGTTAGATGCAAATGAGGCCTCAGATATGAGGGACTGGCAAGAAAGTCTAGAAGAAAATGCAGACAATGAAGAAAAAGAAGAGGATTTTTACATCTTATGTCCCGAAAGATTTGTTTTGATGATTTTGTATTTTGATGATGTGTTTTGATGAATTATAAGAAAGACTGCTTATTTTGAAATTCATTTCACAAAAATATGCTTGTATTGTTCGAAAAAGTTTGGCAGGCAATGTGCTGCTCGTGTTTATTTTTTTCTAACATTTTACATATTATTTATCAAGAAGACTGTTATGTCCACATAATTTAGAAAGAAAAAAAAATTTTGGTTAATTTTTTTTCTAAGTTTAAGAGGTACAAAATGCCTATGTCGATTTTTATGTGATTTTTACGACTTCATGAAAATTTTATTTTTTAAATGAATTTTAATTAATGTTTCCATTTCTGTTGTTTCTAATTCATAGTATATTAACCATATTATGTTACCAAATAAAAAATATATTACTTTTATAAGTATTAGTATATTTTTTCTTTATTTGAAATATGGAGTCCCTGGGTCTCCACCTTACACTTAACGTAAGTTTTAGTCACCATGCAAACTGAGGGTTAATAAGACCACTTCAAATAATGGAATGGCATTACATACCTACATTTTTTGTTAAATTCAAAAATTTTTTCGACTTATTTTTTCATACGAAATTATTTAAAAACTTAATTTTTCACTGAAATTATTCATAATTTACATACAGTTATCAATAAAAAGTCTGCACAAAAAGACTAGGTGACAATTTTGAAAAAAAAACTAGATTGATGATACTATAATCTAAATCAACTAGGTATCTTCTAAATCTAGAATCCACAATATCTTCAAAAATATGCTTTTAGAAACACATATTCCTAAGACTCTTTAACTAGTTTTTATTTATAGAACATACCCCTAAAATTTCCGGATAACAAAAGGAACACGTTGTATACAGGATGTTGGGTAAATGGGTATATGAGCCGACACTAGCCCATGTTAACATATGCATATAAATGGTATGGTGAAGTCAGAATTTTGATATCATCATTTTAAATTTTTAAATGTTCATACAAAATAAAATTTATAAAATCAGACTTGTATGAAAATTTAAATAATTAAAATGATGATACCCATTTACCTAACACCCTGTAGAAAATTTTTTGATAACTTTAAAAATACTAATTGACCAGTTTTTGCACAATAATAATCTAATAAGTTTTCTTGCCAAAATTACATGAATTTTACAAGTTCGGATGACCAAAAATCAATATACACACTATGGTATCTAAAGTATTTACTAGAATACTGTACCAACAAAATGTAATAAATTGTACAAGAACTGTCATTAAATTGTCGATATGACATCACGTTTGCTTTACAAATAACTCACTAATAAACACCTTAAATACGAATTTTTTTTATGCATAACAAGGCAGGTGTATTTGACCACAATCGCACCTGATGTTAAGTGAGATGCAGTCTAGAATGGTACACATCTGCCCTGCAAGTGCCTATTCACTCTCACCTTGAAAAGGTCCGGATTATAGTCTTTGGGAAAGGCAGCAGCAGTATATATCAGTAAAAAAGCTACATACAAGCATAATAATTCATCTAAAATTCCGATAACTTCAATTAGATTTTGATACATGACTAACCAAACCGAGTCTAAGGCTGAGTTGCACCACCTGACTTTTACCGTAAATATAACGATAACCGGTGCTTTTTGTATGGAGTTTGACAGATTTTTGACGTTTGTCAAAGTTTAAGTAAGATGGTGCAACTCGACCTTAGACTGATAACTGGACTTTCAATACAGTTTGGTGGTTCACCTGGTTTTAAAGATGACTGCAAATACTTATGTAAAACTTAATTTATCCACGCCTACAATCCATGTGATATGTAACATTTAATAACATTTGTCTGACAAAAGAAGGCAGGCACTTGTTACCAAATTATAATAAAACACATTACATTTAACTCAACACTGGCGAGTGGTCGTGCTTTGGGTGAACTACTTTCTTCTCTATCTCCACGTCAGGGTTTCTTTTCTTCAACGGTCCATGCTTCCAGTTTGGTGGGTATCCCAATTTGTCGACGTCATCCCACCACTGCTGTTCTCCTGAACCCCAAATGACGTACAGAATATTCGTCCCTATGAGTACAGCGAATACTGTCCAGAATGCGATACGCCATTGTCCGATTGTTTGCTGGAAAAAAATAACGTGATTTATTAGAGTATTTTAAATCAGCAAGCTATAATATTCGGAACGTTTATGTATAGCGCCCTGGAAAGGGCCTAAGTACTGAATAAAATCTTTGACTGAGAGAAATTAATCAGCCTTAATTAAATGTTAATTTCATTGATGCCCTATTAATCTTTAACTTCCGAACATGGATTCAAATTAAGGAAAATAATAATATTCACGAAACTTTTTTACGTTACTGTTTTCCAAATAGAAAACAATAAACAAATATCCGTATTCATATCCTTAGTTGTTCTAAGTTTGATTTTTGTGTTGAGAATAAAGCAGAAGAAGCTTATAAAGCATAAAAAATCTAATGTATGCACATTGAAGTAGTTAAAAAAAAGGTTAGAGAAATTTAAAACACTCGTTACCGACTAGTGACTTCATATAAACAGCTTGAACAAAATTACAAAACCATGGTTTGGCTCAGTTGACCTCGTTTGGTCTAACTTGGTTAGAGCTGGACACAAAATAAAAAACTCGTAGCGAGGAGAACTAAGCTAACCCAATTAAAGTCCGTGTTACAAAACGAAGTTCAAAACCCAATTCAATCTTAGCACAATCTTAGTTAGTGATTGTGCCCTGTGATTGGCCTTCTCGTAAATATTGAAATTAATCCAATTAAAAGCCTCAATTATAAGTATGTAGCTTGGGATTGGCTCCAATTTTGAGTATCGTTCTGTAATACGGGTATAATCAGAAATATAAGGCTTTACTTACTGTTTTGTTACTACGTTTAGTTTTTCAATAGTTTTTTTGGGACTAGAGGTGCAGTGTATGATTTCCAAGGATATTTAAAAAAAATCTAATAACCCTCATACCACTGACGTTTAGCTATAGTAAAGGAAGTAAGTTTTTTCCCTAGCCAATTATGCACTTTTTGGATCATTTTATTCCGTGCTTACTCATCCATCACCTCCTTGTTTTTTCGTTAACTCTTTGGCGAACTAAAAAAATGCGTATAGCCGCAACTAATGTTGCTACACTGTTACTCAAAAAATGTTTCATATACAAAGTTATTAACTGTCCAATTGCTTATTTTTTATTTGATTTGATTTTTATATGACATGTATAGGTAAAATTGTGTACCTATGTCTCTACAATAACTAAAAAAAACTTATACCAGCCAATTGTTATGTTCGTTCAGCCATAATGAGAAAAGCAATTTTAATTCAATTGTGTTCAATACATATTGTATTGGTCTTTGTAACATTACATTATATTGTCCCTATGTATTCGGTTATATAACGTAACATTACATTATATTGTCCCTATATATATATAGAGCCATGCTATTGACCCGAGCGAAAAAAATTAGGTTACCGTATATTGTTGCCAATGTTGGCAATTTCTGCTACGCAGCATTATTATTAAAATACCAAGCGTGAAATGGAGTTTTCACAAAAAGTCTGTTATGGGCATACAGTTTTTCATTGTAGCATACCTCCCGAAATTCAGATGACTGAGTGAGTAACCTGTACGTAATTACTTGTAAACGATTTTCAAGTCATAAGAATATTTAATAGGCTTAAGCAAAAGAGCACAAATAAAAATAGATTTATATAAAGGCAAGCATTTATGTAGAGGTCATATAAACAACTCTACGCAGTGTAGCCAGTTTAGCAAAAAAAGAGTAGGAGCACGAAAGTACCTATGCAAGAATGGATGCATGTATGTATGTTATGTAAGTACCTACTCCTTTCATGGACAAACTAGTGGGTGGATTTTGATATAACTTAAATGTTACTATAACTTACACCCTAGTAAGTATATTATAGGATATGACTACCTATGTATAGAAAATCCACTGAGGTTAAATCGCAGAACAAAAACCAGTAAATATAATTTAAAAACTTACATCAGGAGTCAACAATCCAACCAAATACGGCGTGATAATCCCAGCAATAGCTGCGATCCCGTTGGAGAACGCCGAACATGTGCCGGCGTAGTTCGGCGCGATGTCCATGGCGTTGATCTTGACACTGCTATAGAAACCACCATAGAAGGCCATGCAGGCTATGAAGAGGCCGACAGCTGCCGTGCGATCGCAGCCGGAGTATGACGCCAGAATGGTGAACAGTGCCGGTATGGAAGATGCTGGAAAAAACAGTAGTCAATTAATTTATTGAAGCTATAGGTAAACATTAGACGTGTCTTATTCTTTAAGCAAGCATCTTTAAGACGTTCATTTGTGCCAATATAAAGAAAATTGATGTAACTCGAATTACAGAACATACCTACATAGGTTAATGTTTTTTTGTTCTCTATTCATTGAAATAGAACCACAGACGAGCCAAGCGAAAAATCTATATCTGTACAAATTTTAAACAGCATCGTGTACGTATAAGTAAAAGATGACAATTTTTTTCCATGGTAACATACACATTTACAATGCAAACGATTTAAATAACACTACTCGATACTATTATTATCAAATAACAATAAAAACCATGAAATTTATTTTAATTTAATACTTTTCTGCTTTGGTTTTCAGTTGTGTAATATTTGCTTGCAAAAAACGTCACCATATTACGCAAAGCCTATTATATTAAAAATAAATCGTAGCTTACGTTGTTGCTTACGAAAAACTGTATACTTTCTTATAGGTACCCAGATTCATTTATTAGTACACACTACCTACATCAATAGCGGGTAGTAGGTAGTAATATTGGAGCTAGGCACTCGCATATTTCAAATCAATGATACCTGTCTATTTATCAACATGATCACACCGTTTTTCATGTTGTTTCTGCCCAACTCATCATGATTATGTTCATTTGTTATACAGTCGCTATATTTATTGGTATCTCTACTACTAGTAGGGCGCTATCATCTAGCAGAATTGATATGACAGTTGTTACATAAAATTATTGTATTTTTATGAGCAACTTTAAGTGTCTCCGGGCTAAGTAAGAAAGATCAGATACGTATTGTATTTATTGTGTGTATTTTAGTGCTCAAAACAAAGTACTTAAGTATCTGGAAGAGAACGCTATAGCGATAAGACCGCCTAAATGTGGCGTATCTTTTGTATACCTACCTACTTCTTTATTTTTTTGTCTTAGGTGTACGATAAAGTGTGTTCTATCTATTTATCTACTTACATAGGGTGGTGTAAATCTTCCTTCCCGTCGTAATATTGTGCCATCTCTTTTTTATACAATAGTCGCACGTGAATGCGAAAATAAACGAGAAAATGTACATGGCCACGTATGGTAGAGCCGACATGAGGCCGGTCTGCTTGATGTTGAACTTCAGTACGTCGGAGAAGTACTTGGGGAGGTCAGTGATCATTGTGAAGTAGCCCCAGTCATGGCCGACCTGCAATGATAAAACATTTTATTTACATTCCTCTTTTTTTATTAAAATACTACTAATAATAACTGATGAACAGTTTGTTTATATGGTCGAAAAATTCGTCTGATTTAAAAAAAACTTTTGTACTGGATAGTCCATTTAATTTTATCCAGGCTTTAGGCTATTCCATTGCTTTACGACCAATAGGAGTAGAGCGCCAATGCAAGCGTCGTTGCAAAAACGAAAAAAGACTATTTTCAAGCGTGCGTAATCGCTGTGAAAATCATAAAATATAGTGCTTACAGATAGCTAATAGATAATTGGAATAATTGATGCGGTGTATCCGGCACCGCTCTTATCTCAAAATATAAAAGTACTTACAACTTCGTACACATCTTAAGAAATAGCGAAATCGCGAGAAATCATCATGACAATTCATACAAACAATGTTATCTATATCGATCAGTTTACCTTGACCATTTATTTCATTTTGAATATTTTCCTGTTCTGTCTGTGTATTGCATTTAACGTACAAAAACATTCTTCAGATTGTTACGGTCACTTTTAGGTAACTACACTGCTAGCTGACCACGTGAAATTCGTACCGTATAAATTTTCATCAGAAATAATGTAGGATTCGACTGGTGAATTTTCCAAATTCCTATTCAATAGGTACAAACAGACAATCAAATCTTTCCTATGTAGAATACTAATGTTAATAAAGACACTGCCTTCATAGAGCCTACAAATAGAGCCTTAACGTTTTTAAGCGGCAACACACACATGAACTTATCGTTCGAGGTCTAACATGGATCAGGCGAACGTTTAATATAAAACTGAAGAGTCTAATATTAAAACGTTCTCCATAGAGAAAACGATCTATCTTATCAGCATCTGCTTGTATAATGTATATTGTGAGGTGATTTTCTTAGAAAATTCCTATTCTTTGATTTTTATTGATAAAATTTAAACAAGCATGGTTTTAGAAAAGTGTTGAAGAGAAATTAGTATGTCATCTTCATTTTGTAGTACCCTGAACGACTATTGGTTTTATAATAAACGTTAAGGATAGACAGGGTGACAGGGAAACTCGACCTATTGCTAATGACCTTTATAGTTTATCCCCTATCAAAGAATAGGTCGAGTATACTATGTTTTTGAGGTCGAGACTCGAAAATAGAGTCTAAAAAGAGAGATATAATTTCAAAAAGAGAAAAATATTTTGAATGAGACATGCAATTTAAAAGACTTAGATGAAAATCATTATTTTTAACTTACGGCTGCCAAAACTAAGACCCACAGCGGGGTAGATCTCAAGATGGCTTTGAAAGGCACTGGATCGAGTTTCTTGTGGAGACCAGACGCAGTCACGTTCTTGTTCAAGAAATCCCGCTCTTCATCCGATATGAATGGATGCTCGTTAGGTGTGCTGTAGCAGAGCAATACCTGTGTGGAAATACAAATTGATAAAGTATGGCTTTGAGGTCATAAAGGTAGCAGGAAAGCGCTGGATACAGGCTGCCACCAACCGGCTATTGTGGAAATCATTGGGTGAGGTCCATGTTCAGCAGTGGACGTCCTATGGCTGAAATGATGATGATGAAAGTATAGCTTATTATATGAAATCATCAGGACAACCTGAGGGACATCCACTGCTGGACCGCCCTCAATAGTTTCCAGATTATGAAATGACTAAAAATAACGTTGTAATAATATTAGGCATTCTTATTATGTGCTATTGTGCAACAAACAAGTAACGACCGTAGTTAAAAACCCGACATAAATCATATTAGTTAGTTCTTTCAACAAACAATGCCCACATATAGCATATTATGATTAATTCATAACAAGCAATGACTTTAACCCTACGGTGGTCGCGCTCTAAAATATTACGTTAATGGTCGCGTGGATTACATGCGTAAGCCATTTTATGGAGTAAAAAAAGAAGACATATCTTTAACACCTTTGCTGCGGCGGTAACTTTCTAATACTTTCCATTCCTTCGGTACAAGGTCAGTAAACCTGGTATTAAAACTTACATTGTGGCGGCACAAGGCTTAAAGACCTTGTAATATTTAAGATATATTTATTTTATTTTTGGCTTCATGTTAATAGATATTGTGTTTTTTTTCTTTGAATATTAATAATAATGCATTTATTGACATACACCTGAAGCCGTTCGTGAATAACTTGTTTAGTATAAAAATTATAGCTATATTCAAAATACAAGGCTTATGCACCCTGTGCCGCACTGAATTAGGGAAGTCTGGTGGGTATTCTAGGGATGTGAAATACAAATATCGATAGTTTAAATTAAGTTATAATAAAAATTTAAAAAAGTAACAAACAAAGATGTTTTAATAATTTAGTCTAAATATTTTACAAATAAGATATACGTGCATAAATACTTAAATAAGCTTTATTTAAAGAAAACATATTATTTAATAACATTAAGTTACAACTTCAAATGTTTGTCACGAAAAACATTATTTAAATTAGCAATAAATCGTGTAGCAAATTAAATTATAATCAATTTGCAGTTTTGATTTTGTTTGTTTCTCTTGACGCCATGTCGACATGTGCGTTTCTTACGAATGCGAGGCAACACTGGCTGCACGAAGCTAGCGTGGGGTGCGGTACCAGGTGCGCAGGGTACAAGGTGCTTCGACCTGGTTTCGCATTGTGAAGACATTTTATTACTTCCGTGCGGGAGATACAGGCCATCATGGAATGATAAGGACAAATAAATTTGTTGCACGAATTACAAGTATTTCCAGTACTTTGATTTTGCTTTCTTCCGCAGTAAAAGTAGCGATCTAAAAAACTCCGCTGTGATGGTTCTGAATTAGATAGCTAATCACTGGTCTGAGAAACTTGTTCTCTTGTGGAAGAATGTGCACTTCTTCATCAGAAACCGAAGTCTCGCCAGAAGATACGCTTTGATTGTCAATTACTTCTAGCCATTCTGCGATTTGTGCTTTTTGTCTATTGTTCATGATTTTTATCTGAAATACAATGATTTTATTGAAAACACAAATGTAAATACATACATATGCCGTAATAATTTACTATAAAGCATTAATTTACTCTAATAATGCAAAAACAAACACATTAAGTAAAAAAGGTAACTTAAAAAATACTTACGTAATTGGTCGCGCGGATTACACGTGTAGACCATCGGCATTTACGGGACTCCTGCGACACATCCACAAGCGACCTGGCGCTCACATGTCATTAAGTGTGATCTTCGACTATGCAACTTAAAGTACACGAAGTATCAAAACGATCGCGTTGACCGATTTCAAAATATTCGACAATTTGCACCAGTGGATTACGGGTGTAATCCACGCGACCACTGTAGGGTTAAGATCGTTTCAAAATAGATTGAAAACAACACTTAACGGATACAAGGCTTTCTTTGAATTATTTAAGTAAGTTATTTACGTAAGTCATGACGTATAAAAGTATAATCTACGTATTTATGCACTTTATTAACCACATCTTATAAAATTGAAATATAGATTAGAAAAGCACTTCACTTACCCAAAAAATAAACCACAAAATTCCCAAAAATCCAAAGAAGTAGAAGACATAAGCCCAATCTCCGGTGTTTGCCAGAATAAGACCAGAGATGTATGGGCCAATCACGTTCCCGATTTGTGCACCGCCAAATATCATGGCACCAAACGTCGATCTTTCCGCTGGTGGGATCCATCTTGCCAGTAATAGTACGAAGGAGGGGGTAACTGGACCCTGGAAAGAATGTTTTTTATGACAAGGTTAAGGCTATCACAGATCAGATTTTTGGATATATAAAGTACAGACGACAGCACATCATATTAAACACTGTGACATCTTTTTCAATTGTAATAGAGGCGATTTTGCAACAAAGAAATATCTGATGTGTACTGTACTTCAAGAAAGAGATATAACACCGAATGTGGTATCAGGGACACTACACTTGAGATAAGCTAATGTAAGTCATTAGAGCAATCCTCATGCCTTCTTTTTCTCTCCTCATTTGGAATTTAAAATAACTTGCAAAAACATTTGCTATTAATTCAATTTGTTCTTAAAAAACATACCTAGAAGATTGTATTTTGTAACAAAACGAATGATTAGTTTTGCATTAATTGCTTCTACTTTGTAATTCAACAAGCATCGGTATGTAAGAGTTATTCCAGTTCATAATATACATAGGTACAGTCAGCGTCAAATAGTTTATGACATCCAAAGTGGCCAAAAGTTGACTACACAATCTTATATTCCAATGGTAACAAAGACGCGAACTTTTTGAAGCTGACTGTACACTTTCACTTACCTCTCCAAAACCTTCGATGACACGTATAATGAATAGGCCCACTGCGCCTCCTACCGAAACGGCCCATGGCGTCAACACCATGCCAATGGACGTGGATAACAGGCCGAAGCCAATAGTCCATTTGCCTCCGAACTTCTCTGCCAACAGTCCACCAGGTAAGTGGGTTATGACGTAGCCGTAGTAGAACGCACTGAGAAGCAAGCCTTGGGTTGCTTCGTCCCAGTCGTAGCGTTCGCGGGGCTGGAAGAGAATTTATGGCAGTTTGAAATTACCAAAATGACCTAAAGTCTCACAGAAGTTGTTGACTTCTGAAAGTCAGAGTTTAGCGTTATATCTTGTCCCAATGGAATAGTGACTATACCTACGCAAACTAACCTAATTATAGTGACTATGATTTAATATCCAGACAAACAAAAGTTGTTTCTTTACGTGAATATAAATTCCATAACTTTCGTGCCACATAATACATTTTATTAAGAAAACAGTTGAGAATGTGTTACAAACAAACACATTCCCAACTGTTTTCTTAATTTCGGCAACAATTTGATTATACTATCTACTTAGTATAGCACTCGTCTATGTCTGCAAAACACTTACCCCCTTACTAATAAAACTTACACGCTCGTTGAACAGTGTTTTAAAGTGACGTTTAGTATGGAAATGTCATTTTAAAACAGTGCTCACCAACTGTGTAACTTTTTATTAGTAAGGGGGTTATACGCTAAACAATTTAAGCACAAGGCAAAATTTCGTTGAATATTTGTACTTACCGTACTGACAACAATAGTCTCATTAGTCACAATAGTTATCACATCGACTTCAGGGTCTGGACACGTTTCCCCCACGATGTGTTCCGAGGACTCCGTGTGGAGGACCATCTGCGTGATGGTCATGGAGAGAGAGACCCTCATAGTGAAGGAGTTGGCCAGGGCCAACAGCCCCATGATGCCCAGCACATAACGCTGCGGTATGTATATCACTAAAAAGAATTAAACATAATGAGTAAGTAAGTAAATATTAGATAGAATACACGTTTTACGAGAAAATAAAAGTTTATTTTTGGACATCTAGAAGATGGCACCTCAAAAGCACAAAAATAAAAACCAACATTAAGAAAATAGGTATTTATTTCATAAATATTATTATATCATTTCATTACTGAAGGTACTCTAATGTATTATGTATTATTTGTTATTTTTGGCACCAAAAAACTATTATCTCTCATTATTTTAAACATCTATAGGTAATCTTAGAAATCAGAAGTTCACATTACACATATCACATTTAAGCATTATGGATGGTAAGTGCTATTTTTATTGAACACAGCAAACACATCTCTAGTGATCTTGGTTTTGCAATACTACGAATTTATCTTTTAGAGACTTCACGCCTGCTAATTACGATACGCGATTAAAAACGGCATTAAAAATGCAATCTTGTACAAATTCTTACCCCTGTTCAGTACGCGTCTCCATCCCTTGAGAGCCATCCTTTTAATTACTTAAACCAATAAAAACACATTGACAACTAGAAGTACACCATCTACAACTTTCAGTTCCCTAATGCCTTTTGAAGAGATAACTACACACTGTCAAAACATAGGTACGTGATTGTTAATAAAACAAACGCTACTATCAAAAAACTGTCGTGTATTGGCAGCTTACGTTGTGAGCACGAGATTTTTATGGGTTTCGATAAGATGTATCTAGTGCGTTTAAAATAATACTATCTTACAAAATGTCTGTCTTGAATTGATATGTAACTAAGTGAATTTCCATACAAATTATCTTTTAACTTTAAATAAAGGATCGTTTACTGATCTAAGACTCATTCGGCGGCCTATTTATTAACACAGTGATGGAGCGCGACTTTGTTTGTCTGACGTCCAATTTTTTATTTGAATCTTTAATATAAAAAATATAAAAATAAATCGCAAAATGCGTTGACAAGCGAATAACTCAACAACGCCTGGACCAATTACCAATTCATTTTTTCGAAATTTTATGTTCGTTGCAGTCTTATAGAAAATTATTATGCGTTTGTGTATAAGTACCTAAATTTTAATGCGTGTCACTTTAAAATTCAATGAAAACTTTATTTTTATTACATGAGCAAACAAGTCGAAAAACATATTCCAATATCGTGGGTTCATATCCCACATGAAGCAATATTATAGGAAAGCATTATAAATATTATGCACAAAAATTCAGAGTTTTTCTTCAAGAGAGAGAGAGAGATTTTAGACTTTAAAATCAAAGTTGTGAAGAAGAAGTGAAAATAAATACCTACTTATTACCTGTGACAAGCAGTTCAGTCATCGAGGCCCAACTTCTTGAAAGTGGTCAATAATCTAATAAACGTCCGCTGGGCAGTGTGCAAGAAGCTTGGCGACATCTTTTCATCCAAAATACTGCAGTGTTCAAGACTTCTCAAAAATATGATTTTTTTCCAGTCTTGCCAGTGACCATACAGAATGGAGACTTGGTTCCATATTATGGGCCTCATAAATAGGCTCAATGAGACTCAAAGGGTGATAGATCGTGCTATGATTGGAGTTTTCATATGTGATCAGATCGAATCTAAATTGGCGAGATCCTTAAGAAAGCCAATGTAACTGACATATTAATAAATGGCAGTGGGTGGTAGGTATGCAGCTCATAGGACTGATGGCTTAATACGTCAATAGTCTTCTCAAGTGGCAAACACGGACTGGAAGACGTAGTGTAGGCCTCCTACTCGGTGGACCGATGATATCTTTTGCACAAGACCAGTCGTTATGGGAATCCTTGGTGTTCAGACGTCTTTTGGTTACGGTGCGGTGGAAAGTAATTCGGAATAAAAAAAACGAAATATTCAAGATTTTTTTGTTCGTGGGAAATGAAACCAGGATAAGAAACTGTTAAATTGGCTCCTTCTTGCACAGCAGGTTCATAAATGTTAACTTCCCAAACAAACTCTCATTTTTACATGGTAAAAGATGTGTGGCCACCGACACAGACATCTTCTATATCAAATAATCGTGATTTGAGATAGAAGATGTCTGCATCTGATCTATTAATGACAATACTCTCAATCGACGTCAGAGATAATAAAAGAACTAAGTTCCAAGTAGGTAATACCATAACGAATTTAAGGCGACGATAATTTCTATCTAGGAGATACTATGTACCATCGGCAACAGTGTTAACTACCCATTGCCGGTCATGTCGTCTCGTTCTATCGCAAAGAATTACCATTTTGATGAAAGCGAGAGCAAAAACGGAAATGGATAGATAACAGTGTAGCCGTGTGTACTCTATATCTGTCAAATTTTGAGACGTTTTTATCGTTTATGTAACTTAATAATATTATGACGATTACATCGGAGGCACGTGTAACCATTTTGCGGTTCCATTATTAATAGTTTTTGTATTTGTATTTGCCAGTATCTGTTTCTTTGGTCACAATACTAAAATTCAGTTTTCAAGGCATTGTCTGAACAAACAAATTATCTTGGGACAAATGCAAGGCAGACGTGCTCGGGGCAGGGCAACGATGAGATGGTCAGACGCGACGAGGAAGACGGTGGGCGAAAGTTTGCATCGTGCGGTCCACACAGCTCTATGCTGCAATTTGTGGAGGAACACTATCAGTCTGTGGTCGCGATCCTCATCAGTGAGGGACCGAGGAAGAAGAATTTGCCAGTAGGTTGGTCGCCTCCTTAAATCTTGTACATAATTGCCTCATGGATTTACTTTAACTCTTTGCCAAAATTCAATTTCAAATACAACTACACCTTACAGTAACTATGAAGTACCTAAGTCAAACGGTAAGGATACCCGATATCCATAGTTTCAGACCCTCTTTTAATTCGCTCTTTCGTTACAGCGATGTGTAGGTAAGAGACTGATTTTAATAGGGGTAATGGGAGTGGAAAATCGACGCTTTGTTCTGACTTTTACAGACAATATTTTGGACAGTGGAAATCAGTAACTATGGTTGTGAACTAAGACTGCCTAGTTTTCTGTGGATTCAATAAAAGTGTGTTGAATGACGACTATTGAATATTTTTATTTATTCTTCATGGTCATTTAATTTAAGGCCTATAATTTATTACAAGGAACATTGCAAGAATAATCAAATTAACAACAAAATAACGTCTGTAAAGCAAGTAAGACCAATAAATAATTTGACGCTCTTTAAACAATGATGTGACATGGAAAGATGATGTAATTTAACGCAACCAGTTTTCAACTTGATTAACTTGGCCATAAAATTGAAAATTCACTACGCATAGTAAAATTAATTACATTACGGCATATCAAGCAGTAAAATGAGATCGTTAACTTTGGAAAAGGATGTAGTAAAACAAAATATTTCCATTAAGATTATTTTTTGAATCCAACCTACAATAAATTTTGTATTATGGTTTCGAGAAAATATTTATCTAGGATGAACGCACCTAATGACAAAGACTGTTTTGTATGATACCAAAAGCTATGATATTGCGACAGTTATCATAATCCTGTTATTTATATTTGTAAGCACTATTATAATAGTCCATGCAAATAAAGGAATTTCGACTTTTTTCCACCAATTGAACATGTCTTCAAAAACTCCTACCGAAATATAACTGCTGTATTGTATAATTTTATTATTGACGGGATTACTAGTACCTAAATTACGAGCCTCCGATATTAATTCGACAATTAAGGTACATGGCCGGTAGCAATCCCGTTAATTATAATTATTTTGTTAGTGACCATGAAAGTTTAGACAATATATTGCTTACTGTATGTTCGACTTTAGCAGTCCCTTTGATTCATTTACCACCATCCATCAAGAGCATGTAGCCGCCATGATTGATTTAGTCCTACTCAATGAAATACTAAACAAAGGCATAATAACTAACATTTATTTACACTTATGACATACATTACAATAAATTAAGTCGTCAATTTAAAATTACATAAGTAACCTAAGATCCAGTCATTTAATTATTGTCTTTCTTTTGTTCACTTTCTTCTGTTGTTTGGTTTTCTGAGTCTTTTGGGTTCATCTTTAAAGGTCCGTGTTGCCAGTTGGTGGGGTAGCCATTTTTCTTGACGTCATCCCACCACTCCTGCTCACCCTTGGCGAAGATGATGTAGATGATGTTTGTAACAACCAGCACTCCAAGGCACACCCAGAACGCAATCCGCCATTGTTTGAGAGTTGACTGCAAAAGAAAAGGGTGCTTATTGAATAGAATATCGAGCAATCAAAAATGTTGAAGTTACGTGCAATTGTTTTATGAGCACATTATAAATTGAATGCTGAAACTAAACAATTATCAGATTTATAATTTCTTAAGGGTACAATTTTTTTTTTTTCAGTTTAAAGATCAATTCTAGTTTTATTGTCTTGCATAAAAACGCACGTGTGCAAATGTGCAGAGTTATTGAACTTAAAACACGTACTTCCATATCATAATACTTCCCCGACTGGCAAGTTGAATATGCATTCTAAGATACCCTTACATCAATCAATGCAAGATAATCCAAGGTAAAATGCTATAATGCAAATAGAGTAATTAGTGAGACCCGTATCCTGACACGATTCTCAAGAATAATTTCAATCTCGTGATTTGTATTAAACATTTAAATCCAATCAATCATTTTGAGTCAATCATCGCCTCAGATACAAGCCTTTTTTATCTCGAAAGTCGAACTTACATCAGGCGTCAACAGTCCAATGAGGTAAGGCGATATAATCCCAGAGATGGCAGCGATCCCGTTGACCATAGCAGTGGTTGTCCCGCAGTAGTTGGGACTGATGTCTAGGGGGTTGATCTTCATACCACTGTAGTACGCCCCCATGAGCACCATGGCGAAGACGAACCAGAAGACCGCCATGGTGGTGTCACAGCCGGAGTAGGAAGCCATAATGATGCAGATACCAGGACCAGTGGCCGCTGTGTAAGTAAGGAAAAGTGAAGATATTTTATTAGTAAACAATCAGTCAAGATGAAACATTTCTAAATGGAAAAACCAATTCAGTACTCATAAAAAGCATGAATGAATAACAAGAATAAATAAACAAACGTTATTAGCTTTCTGATAGTTTTGTTTATGCAAGCACTTATTCTGGTCTATGATACAAAGTAAATCATACTTTTCCACAATGTATCATTTCATGTAGGATGCGGTACTGGTGATTATGATTTGATGTTTAGTTATTACTTCACATGTCGTCTTTAAATTACTTACCAATTGTTGTGTAAATTTTCCTGGCATTCTTGATACTGTGGTATCCTCTCTTGACGCAGAAGTCGCAGAGAAGACCGAAGAAGAAAGATGCGATCCACATGGCAACGTATGGCAGGGCTGATAGTATTCCCGTAGACTTGATGTTGAACTTGAGAACGTCTGTCATGTACTTGGGGAGATCCGTCACCATGGTGAAGTAACCCCAATCGTGGCCAATCTGAAAACAACAGAGTAACATGTTACTGTAAACGAATGACAATGATAGTGTTTTTAAATACGCCGTTTTTCACGGATACACATTTTTGAGGCGTATTCTTACGAATAGTAATTTTTGCGCTAGTTAAGCGTAGCGTTTGCGGAATTTGACGAGTACTAAGTAGGTAGATACTTGTATTTTTTTACATTTGGACCGTCTTTTCATTGCTAGTTACGCCGCTTAATGCACTTTGATTTTCGTCTCACGTTAGTATTTTCCGTTAATAAGAACGCATACAAGTGGAATCCATATACGAGTACACCGTTTTGTTTTTGTGTAAAAGTGGCCTTACATAATTTATTAGTGCTTTATTACCTCTAATAAGCGACTCTAATTCTTACTATTGTTCTAATCTTGGAGGACTTGGTAACAATAACCTAACTAGAGAATATACGAATACATGCGATCTAACTAGAACGAAAATAGTTTTCAGTAATATCCAATCATGGGCGATTTTAGGTTTTGAGTATGGATGTACCTACATTTTTTTAGGTCTGTAAACCTCTTTTCAATTTTTAGGGCAGGTTTAGTAACATTAAAGTTACAGCTGTTTAATTTTATACAAGACTGCATAGAAGATAATACATACTAAGGTGCTTATTTAATGTCAAAACTGAATATACTCGTGTAGAATATTATTATTTTTTTGCTATTTTTATGGACTTTTCATCTCGTTAAAGTGGACATCGGCCACACGACTAAATTGCTATCGGTCAAATTAAATAACAATAAACAACTCAACTACATTTCACTTCAAAATGGTAGTTTTCTAGGTTGTATTTATAATTTTATCTATTATCAGTAAAAGTAGGGACTTTCTACTCAAACATTATCCTGGTACTTTAGTTATCAAGTATTACCGTTCTGTTAGAACAATACCTTCCTTTATCAATATTTATCGCTAAGTTTAAACTAAAACATGTGTAAATGTTTTAACTGGCATTCTCTCGCATTTTTAGATTAAAATTTACTAGTCTTTGGTTTTCAAGGAAAACATAACGGTCAAATAAATAATGCATCTTACTCCTTGAATTTCACATTGACTTTAATTTCAATCGATAGCAATCAAATTTAAATTATATTGCTGAGTATACAGGGTATAGTTTGCATTGACATCCTTTATTCAGCTGCAGATTTGTGCCAGTTTGAACTGAGCTGATTAAACTCTTTATTAATGCCCTCGTTATAATATTAAGGCATCCTGCAGCGTCTTCTAACCAACTACTTCCGACTCTATAAATCTTAACTAAGCCTATAAAGAATTCCCATTGCAAATTGAACGTTATGTCCTTAAAAAATAGTTTTAGTTTTGTGGTAGAGGCTGGATTCTGTACACTGGGTTCATCTAGTCGTGATACTTACACCAGCAATGATCAGTGCCCAAAGAGGCACAGATCGAAGTAAGGCCTTCCATGGGATGGGGTCCATCTGTTTCTTGGTTCCCATCAACGAGTCCACGTTTTCGTTCAGATATTTTCTCTCGGCGTCAGAGATGAATGGGTGGGTGTTGGGCGTACTGTAGCAAAGGAAGCTCTGTAAATAGAATATAGAAAAAAATATAAAGTTATTTATCTATCCTTTACCAATTTAGGAGGAATGTGAAGATGGTTGTTCATTAGTGCCGGTCGTTTTTTTAATTGAAATTTAGTAGTTTCTTTAAATAATTTAAAATTACCTACTTGTATAAATAATTATAATGATAATGGTGATAATTTCATATGTTTCGACTTTGGAACAGCACTATTTGTCGTCATCTCCAAATTGGCCATTTAAGCGGATTGCGCATCAGTTTCTTGCGATCATTGTAAGGTCATATTCCAGATTTATAAATTTAAGCGGTTTATAAATTACCCAAAAGTTAAAATATTTGGGGTCACATAAAAGTTCGATTATCACTTACCCAAAGTATGAACCACATGATGCCCAGTCCTCCAAACATATAAAACACGCTCTCCCAGCTCCCGTTATGCATGATCAGTCCAGAAAAGTACGAGCCAGCGATGTTCCCTATTTGGGCCCCTCCGAAAACAATGGCTCCGAATCTGGCACGTTCCACTTTAGGCGCCCAGCGGGAAAGCATAGCCATGAGACCTGGCATCGTTGGACCCTTGGAATGAAATTTTTAATAGACTTATTTTAATGATTTTAAAACCGCTAGCGGTATAAACCGTTTAAAGCAATGGTTAAAGGCGTTAACAAAAAATATGATTTCGCAGGAATTATGGAGTCGTTGGTTTCATATGATGATAGAAATAGAAAATCAAAGGAAGCAGTCAGGTTTTCTAGTATTGTTGAAGTTTTATAAGTAGGTAAAGTAATAAAAGAAATAAAAATAAACAATGAAATCAGTAAACTTTTACCTCTCCCAATCCCTCGATGACTCTCAATATGAACAAAGCAGGGGCTCCTCCCAGTTTGACCGTGACGGGAGTGATGATGGTACAAACGGCGGTGCAGAGGAGGCCCAGCCCGAGGACCCACTTCCCTCCGAACCTCTCGGCCAACATGCCTCCAGGGATGTGAGTGAGGACGTAGCCATAATAAAATGAACCCAGGATCAGACCTTGAGTTGCTTCACTCCATTGGAAAAGAACAGTCTGAAAAAGATTAAATATTTATTTCACGGCTTGGTAGACGATCCTCCCCCCCTATCCGTCCCCCGGACACGGCTCCCCTATCCGTCCCCCGGACACGGCCTGAGCCGAGGTCCGAGCCTACCGTGGCGCCCTCAGGCCGCGTCCGTAGTCCCCTCGATCGGGCCCACTAGAGTGAGCCCGCCGTAGGCTGGACTTTGGTCCAACACCGCGGTGGGCAACCCTCTAGTTGGGTTCGCCACTGATCGGGCGCCTTATGCGCTCGATACGGCCCGATCGCGAACGTCGGTCTGCGACCGACGCGGACGAGCCTGGGCTTCGCTACGCGAAGCCCACACTCGGCCTCGTCGGCACGCGCACCGACGATCGCCAAACGGCTAGAGTACCTTCTGTACTCGCCACTCTGCCCGGTGAAGCTGGAAAAGCTCCTCAAGCTACCAGCGCGCGTCCCTTCAAAAAAAAAAAAAAAACGATCCTCCCAAAAGGTCTCCCACTAGGTAGACCAACGATCTGGTTCGCAAATAAAACACCTAGATGCGGCCAGAGCAGGACCTAGATGCTGTTGTTGTGGACATCCATGGGGGAAGGCCTTTGTCAAGCGGTGGTGGATGTTATTTGGATGAATCGATAATATTCTGAATTTGGGGTATCAAAAGACAGTATTATGTAAGTTTTCAGTAATGTTTTGTTCTTGTAGTCGTTCTTATGAAACTCACAAATTCTCCATCGACAACAGTGCCGCACATGTTATACTTTAAGCGCTAAATACATAATATTATCTTACGTTTGTTTGTTGTGAATTAATTCTTTATTCCTGTATCAGTAGTAGCAAGGAGAGTAATCTCTCAGTTATTTTATACCTACCACTTACTACGAGTATATTTTATTTTAGGTGCATGTTCTCGTATTATGCCTAATGTAGCGTACCTACTAATGTATATAATTATTAGTTTAAAGTTTTTGTCATTTTCGTAGATAAAGAAATTAAGTTTATTTTTATGGGTCATATTATTTATTTCAACTAAATTATTGGTATTCTTGAAAATAAAGTAGCACTCACTTCATCCCTCCAAACAATATGTTTCGTAGTGTTGCTCACTATACTCGCGTCAGGGCAGGCATAAGGGTCATAATGTCCCGACTCCGAGTTGCCTTTCTTGACCATCTGGGTGATGGCCAAATTAAGGCATACCCTCATGGTATATGCGTTGGCCACGGCCAACAGGGACATCACTGCCATGACATACCGCTGGGGTATTATGAAAACTGAAAGGTAATAGAATAAAATGTAAAAAATATAGGTCAATCGTTACTGTTTTACAGGGTGAAAAGAACAAGTAAACAAAAACTAAAAAAAACAATGTTAAGTTTTAAAAAAACTTAAACTAATTAAATTAAATTCATAGTATCTCGCGTTAATTAACCGACTTCAACAAAAGGAGGAGGTTCTCAATTCGGTTGTTAGGAAACGAATAACTCTTTCGTTATATAATACATTAAAACATTTTTACAGAAAACAGTTTCGGAGTTTATTAATTTTTAGTAAAATATATCGTCAAAACAAAGTTTTTGCCCTTAACCTTATAACCTCAAAATTTATATTTGTAGTCCTTATACTTTATACGAGTAGGTGAATAATAAAATAAAAACTTGTAAGCTAAATTACGCATCAACTGTCAGTTCCGTCATCATTCATCTAAACCGATACATGATAAATCAAAGTGATTGATTTCTTATCTCGAGAAAACGCACTTCCCAAGGGATGAAGTTTAGGTACTTCTAGTTCTAGAAGACCTAAGTGATAAAATTAGCAACTAAATGTTAGTTTACTATGGCATAGGTATACTAGTAAAATAATATTAAAATATCAATGTAAATGCGTGTTTGTCTAGTTGGTTGTCCTAATAAATAAAATAAAATAAAATAAATTCTACCTCAAAACACTAGTAATACTACTCAAAAAACATCTGTTCAATAATAAGTAGAGCTAATTAATGTTACATAATTACAAACTGACGTGATATGTTTAAAAGAAGAATTTCTTTGTTTATAAGGCTTTATGCAAATTAATGTTAAATTAACCTATTGTAAAAATAAAGAGTTTGATTTTCTTATCAAATTTTCAAAATGTCATTGTACTAGCTACGTAGTTGAAAATCGACATTAAATGGCGTTGAATTTTGTTAATAATGTATTGTCATTAACCTAAGAATATTATAGCTAACTCAAAAATAGAAGTACTTACACGTTAAAATATATGTACGGACAAATTAGTGCAGTGAATTAGAAGTAGTTACTGATTTGTTGTAGAGATTTCCAATTCTCAAAAGTTGACCATATTATTGATTTGATTTGCATTATTAATTTTTTAATTACATTATCAAATAAAATTACACAAATTATACTTACATTTCGATAAAGTAAGCCTCCATCCCGTCAACATTGTGCCGTGTCTATAACACAAAAAAAAACAACTTGAGTGAATAGTGAATACTCTAAAACAAAATCACATCTGACCGCGTATTTTCAAAGTCGCGTTCATTTAATTTCGCACCACGTCGTGTCAGGCCGGACCGCGGCTCATCACAGAGTACGCTCGCTGTCGCGGTGCGATACTAAAATCAGGAAAAGCAGTTTTCGCCACGCTTTTGGTGACTACCGGGTCATCGAAGGTCATGGATTGGATGGATATCCGAAGATACACAATACGCAGCGTAGTGGCACGGTTAATTGCGTAGTGCTAGAGTCACGGATTCGATTTCCGATCGGGTCAATTAAATCTTACTTCAAAAGTTTCAGGCTCCACGTGGCTTGTAACTTTCATCATTTCATCAATCATGATAACTGATGAATAATTATTGAACGTTATTATTAATAATTCAGTTATCTACTACGAGTTATAATGAAGAACGCTATAAATTTCATATAAAAAGTGTTTTCAAAACAATAATAAGAATAAGTGTATGAAAATTTTCAACTATCAAAATTTCTTCGTATAAATTGTTACAAAAAAAGCCTACGTATTTTCCACTCGATTAGCAAAGTAATCAGTCTGTAACGGAGAAAAAAAAATGCACTGAACGTCGCTTCCTTATCTTAAACTTATTTAACCCACAGTAACCCTGCAGATAAACCTTACATAGTTTTCCTTATTTTTATTTCCCTATTAGGTATATTAAGTTTTAGGCAATCTGCGCTATTAACAAAGGTTTTCAATTTATTTTACATTGATTAATAACCATTAACCAAGCCTCTATCATAATAACAACATGTACCCAATATCAAATTAATTATCCTTAATACGGATTTACTTGTACGGTTTTCTGATTTTGGAAGGTAAGGTAATTTTAAGTTCAAATTTTTTTATTTTATGACGTTCACATCATACAAAAAGAAAGAAATAAATAATGATAAAAGGTTGCTCTTAAGGAGTCTTTAAAAGTATTTTTTCTACAAGAAGACGATTTTAAATAAATTGCATAATATGCCAATTCCAATTTACATACGGATTTGCACCAATAAATAATATAGGAAAATATTTAGGATTTGTGCGATTACCTACGTATAAGTATGACTGTATAAATCGACACTATAAACGAAAACAATATTATTTTATTTTATTCTACATGGTGTAGGTAAAATTTGTTTCTATTACAGTTCTTTGTTTTTAATAGTTATGTGTACAGTTCGGCACAATACATATTATGTACTTTAATGTTTTTCACCTCAGATTTCTAAATAGTATTTAATTTATCTGTTGTACCATCGCATGTCAAGCAACTGTTGGTTTTTCTCGAGATAAAATTAGATAGATAAAACAATGAAACCGCTTTATGTCAATTTTATCATTAGGTACTCGTATCTAAATAAAATATTCCATTCAAATACATTCAAAGACACCCTGTGGTGTCGTTACTAGTATACAAGTTTATAGTAGTAGTATAGTAGTAGTAGTATATATTATATTATACAAGTTTATTTGGTTAAACTATAAGTAGTGATACACCGCCCGTATTCACAAACATTACTATGAGGTCTCACAATGCGCGTGGACGCACAGGGTGACACATGAACCAATTACAGAGCTCTATTCAATGCTGTGCGTTCGATTTGCTGCTCCACTTAAGCAAGCGTCGTTTGTGAATATGGGCGATAGATATATTTATTAGGTAGGTAGGTATTACACTAAGAATGTAAGTAACAAAAAAGGTTACGTGTGTTACTTGAATAATTTACGTTTAATAAGTAAAAGTCCTTTTTAATTTTTTAAGTTCACCAGAGTTTACCAATTTTTTAAGAAATTTTGGCCTTTGACTTTGACTTTGACTATTGTTATTATTATTCAGCGTTGAAAAGTGACATTAACATCAACGACAACTGTATTGATAAGGCAGTGTCACGTCAGGCACGAGAATTTGATATAACGCCAAAAGAAATGGAAAACTGTTCACACGCAAGGTTTCTCTACAAAACGGTGTTTCTTTACGAAATCAAATCATAAATGAGAATATCCGTAAACGAACTAAAGTCGCTGACATAGCCCGACGGATTGGCAAGCTGAAGTGGCAATGGGCAGGGCACAAAGTACGCAGAACTGACGGCAGATGGGATGCGCTAGACGCAGGCCGCTGCCCACAGGTCATCATGGAAATCATTGGGTGAAGCCTATGTTCAGCAGTGGACGTCATATGGCTGAAATGATGATGAAGATTTCTCTCAGGCCCCTTAGTTGAATCATTTTGAATGATATGAGATAATACGATGCATGTGATATTCTGAAGTACCGACACTGAATACCTACGTTAGATAAAAGTTTCAGAACTGCCGACCTGGATTACCCATTCAAACGTAAAAGATTATTCGTTTATGACGTCAGAAGACCCATGAAAATAATAATTTTATGCACTTTAATTTGATTACCTTCGCTTGCCTACTTTTCATTTTTGCTCTAATACAAGACTTGACAATTTTTTTTTCTTTCTACACTACACATGGGGGTTTCACGATGTTTATGTATTTTTATTTTATACCTACACTGTTCTCATAACATTCGTACATAATTTTATTAGGTATGGATAGTCAAGTTTACACGTGAGAAATTAGTGTCATTTTAGTGATGGTATGTAGTTTTATTCATGCTTGTGACTTCGTTATTCCTAAGATGATTTATCTATTGGACAAACAGATAAATACATTCATGCAAACAACTGTTAACGACAAAAGTTATGTATTTAATTTTCATTTAATTGCACAATGTATGTATTTATCTTCTTTATGTATACTTTCTTATTTATTTTTTATTTTGTTGTTGTATCAAATACATGCTGTCTATTCTATCTATTTTTAATGTTATTGCACACACTTAATGTAGTTGCATATTTATATGTTGGTAGTTAAATTGGAATACTGTTTTTAAAAAGCATATCCCAAAAAATACAGTTTAGAATATACCTACTTTTAACGTCACTGACATTAAATTTTCCGTCAATTTTCTCTTTGGTAGTACTCAAATTCGTTAAAAATTAGGGATTTCCAACGATCTTGTAACGATGTCATTACCTCAACTCATTAAACCACGGCTGAGGTAAATAGATTCCAAAAAATACCTCCCTAAGTTGCAGACCAATAACTTAGCGTCATTTATAGATTTGTAGTAAAAGTAAACGTTATAAGGAAAACAATTTAACATTAAGTTTTTTACCTTGTCTAGCCAAGGAGTTATTTTGCTTGAAGAAGTATAGCAAGAATACTTACGTTAGCTCTCAAGAGCAATGGCTTATTTTAATCTAAAGTAAATACATAATACCTACTGCACGTGAGCGCATTCAAAACCTGTTTCCGCTATCTAAATGATCTGGTAGAAAAAAACATAATACCTGATATCTAATCTAGCTGAAGCCACGTGCTACTGAAAGTGCCAGAGAGACTGAACTTTAAATTTAAACTAGTTATTACTTAGTATGTTATGTGCTTCTCAGGGCACAAGACACGAAAAACAACGAACAAAAGATAGACATTTCTAACACAGGGCACAGGCATTAACCGGGATGTTAGTGCTTCTGTAACTACAAAATAATATGCTGTTAACCATGTTTTCTTAAATTGAAGTTTGCCGTTCTTTAGGAGACATAGCGGCTGAAATAGCGAAAAAACTAGATCTTTGTCTGTGTTTATTACAGGACATGCAACTTACAAGATAAGTGACAGGTAAAGTCCTTGCACTCATGTCCCTGAAATACCTACTCATCCATTTCAAAGTACCCTTTTTAGGTTAACGACATTAGATATCAATTTAGATCTGTCCACGTTGTGCGTATGACTTCTACTATAAAGTTTAGCAAGGGAATCTCCAAGTTGTAGGGTTTTCCCAGTTGTCTAGAAGCTATCTATCCTCGCCAAACGCCAGCATTTCGTTTTTATGGTTTGCTTTATTGTTTATTTTTGAAAAATAATAAATGTGATCATTTATTCTGTTGTTCTTACACACTTAAATTAGCTGTGAGACTCTATAATTGGCTATAGTTATGTAATGTACCACTCTGTAACATGTAAATTGTCGACAAAGCTGTCGAGTTTCCAAATAAATATCACGTTCTCTATCCAATAACTCTACGAAATGTAGAGAAGATGCTACATTATCTGGCTAAAAACGCTACGAATTGTAGAGATGCTATTCTTTGGTAAGTTTTCACGTTGATAAATGCTTCATAGCTTTGTCACTAAAGTGTCGAAGGATGTTTAAACTATGATTGCTAGTAATTTTGCGTTCATAATTTTCTGCGGTTGCAAAATATATTTACTTAAGGTGCGAAGTAAATTATCTTATCGACGTTTCCTTTTATTCTATGTGGAAAGCAAACATTTAAATGACTAGCGCGTGTTTGATGGTCTTCTGAATATGACAATGGATTAGTTACGAGTTAGTTTATTGATGAATGTCGTCGTTTATTGTTAGTTGGTGGCAATTGACTACTTTAGTTGTTAATTATTACGTAAACTGATGCACCCAAGGATTGACAGGTGGGCCGACGACCGCAAAAATGTCTCAGGTATTATTGAATCTCTAAGTTCAATTTAATGAGAATTTTGTATTTTATTTATTTACCAACTTCACTCCTCATTATTTAATATCTTCATAATATTTTCTTATATATTTTTATTAGGATGTGTATCTAAATATTATAATGCAAAGGACTGACATAGTGATCTATCAACGCACAGCCCAAACCACTACACGAATCGGGCTGAAATTTGGCATGCAGGTAGATGTTATGACGTAGGCATCCGCTAAGAAAGATTTTTACGAAACTCAACCCCTACGAGATCCACGCGTACGAAGTCGCGGGCGGCCGCTAGTTATAGATATAACAAATCAATTATTCAAACGGCACTTACCTTTTTGATCACCAACCCAACTAGGTACTTTGAAAGTATTTGTTTTGTTTCTCGTATTTACTTCAAAGTAAATTTTACGATACTGCCATCACTACTCCATAACCTTCACGTAGCGACTACGTTTTGTTCAACGCGAAGTATTTTCTTATTTCAACGTCTTTTTATTATCAGCTGTTATCAACCTCCAGCGGTCTTCTTTTATGGAGTAACAATGACAAAGGAGCAACACGTGCCAGTCATGGTGCATAAAAATAAAAATGTAGATATGACCAATATGTAAATGTAAATAAATAAACATTCTAGGATATTTTTACTGCGCCATCTAGCCCCATGCTAAGTAAAGCTTCCGCTATGGGATACCAAACATTACTTATTTACGTGCTCGTATTTTTATTCTTAGAAAATTACGTTAACAGTAGAACGAAATCTGGTTTACCTACTAGATGCGATTTATTTAAAAGTTGTGAAAAAAGAAAGTTCTTAAATAGTTTCATTCTGGATGGAATATTAGATTAGAATTGTTCTCGTATGTTTTAAAAAACTGTTCAACATGTCTCATGAACTGCTTTATAGCTTTTTTTTTATTCTTATTCTTATTCTTATTCTTTTTGTGATTGACTCGGTTATGATTATTAAAATTCACGAATAAATTAATTACCCGTTTATTTATTTACATACTAATTATCACGTTTTCCTTAAAATTAATGATTAGCCTAAAGATGCAGTCGTTTAGAGTTTCTCTTTCTTTTCCTCATTTTCTACATATTTTTGGTCCTCTGTATCATTTGAGTATGCTTTTAGAGGTCCATGTTTCCAGTTGTCAGGGTAGCCATGTTTTCTGACGTCATCCCACCATTGCTGCTCGCCCTGCGCGAATAAGATGTAGATGAGGTTGGTGGTCATCAGAACTCCAAGGCACACCCAGAATGAAAGTCGCCACTGTTTCAGAGTTGACTGAAAAAGAAAATGATTACGTTAAAAAACTAAAATAGAGAAAAAGTTAAAAAATATTCAATGTTATTTTTTGTTTCAAGACATTTTATTCTTAAATACTTCTTTTTTTTATGATTTTCTTTAAGTCCCCTCTACTTTTCTCAGTCCTTTGTTCCTGTCATAAAGCCTGTGAGTTGATATAGTCAACGTTAGGATGCAATTTACGTCTTAAGTGTAACCAAGACTGAGTGAATTATCTTCACGTGACAACGTGCTGCTGACGACGCGACGCCCCTCTTGTGGCGAAGTTTTGGGCTGACACTGTGTAGGTTTGTTGTCGACACGAAAAGAAAAAGAAGTTTCACGTCCTATAAGTGTATGATTCGAGAGGACTCTGCATTTTTATAAAAAAAATCACCTTCACGAAAATAGCCAACATAATGAAGGAGGAATAGTTTGCTATAAATCAATGAAAAATTTCTAATTACATCTGGAGTCAGCAATCCAGTGAGGTAAGGCACTATTATTCCAGAAAAGGCTGCGATCCCGTTGACCATCGCTGTCGTGGTTCCTGAGTAGTTCGGACTGATGTCCAAGGGGTTGATCTTCATACCACTGTAGTACGCCCCCATGAGCACCATGGCGAAGATGAACCAGAAGACAGCCATGGTGGTGTCACAGCCGGAGTAGGAAGCCATAATGATGCAAAGACCAGGACCGGTGGCCGCTGTTAAAATTAAAATTTGTAAGCAATGTCGTCAGAGAGTTAAACTTTAGTCGAGTAATAGAAATAATATAGAAGAATAACTACAACTTGAAACAACAGAATAAAATGCACTAAGATAAAATCGTTTGCTTTCACAAAAGCCTGAAATTGGTTTGTTCAGGATCGATTGGAGTACGTTTTTAAACTAATATAATAATAACAACTTATATGGTGTTAAGCAATCCGATTGGGTAATTACCTACATTAGTTGTGATATCTGATGTCACCCACACACAATAGTATAAACTTTTTACTTGTATAATTAATTTGATGTGTGTGACAGTCGTTAGCAAAACACTATACTCTAAAACATAATTGACAGTGTTGAGGTCACTCACCAATGCTTGTATAAATTTTCCTGGCATTTTTAATGCTGTGGTAGCCTCGTTTGATGCAAAAATCACAAATTAGACCGAAGATGAAAGCGGCGATCCACATAGCCACGTATGGAAGTGCTGATAGTGTGCCAGTGGACTTGATGTTGAACTTGAGCACGTCTGTCATGTACTTGGGGAGATCCGTCACCATGGTGAAGTATCCCCAATCGTGGCCGATCTGGAAACCAAAGAGTAACGTCATGTAAAATTAGAATATCGCGCAAAAAAAATCCCTGTTATTGTGAACAAAAATGTATGACCTACGGGGCGTACTATACGATAGTCTATATTATAACTTACTTATTCCACAATAAAAAAAAAACTAAAATAGTTATTAGAGATGTTACTTATCTACTACCCGTTCGTGCTAAGTTAGCAGATGCGCGTCCCCTCCCCCAACCGCGATTAAACGCAATTAGTTAGTGATTAAACGCAATTAATGTGTCTTATTTTACGCAAAAACACAATTTTTATCAATAATAATAAATAAAAAATATTTTAAAATAAATATAGTTTGTTATAGTTATAGACGCTTCCGTTCAAGTGACGTCATATCGCCAGCGGCTAAAAAGCGAACGGATAGTGCGTACTGTCTAGTGAACGGTCTCTATTCGATATTTTGATTTCTGGTAGATAGAGTAAATAAATAAATAATCAAGGTGCCTTGTACAAATTCTTTTAAACATCCACAATCATATCGAATAATCTTAACCATAGGTACAGTGAGCTACTTACGCCAGCCATTATCAGTGCCCAAAGAGGCACAGATCGAAGTAAGGCCTTCCATGGGGTGGGGTCCAGTTTCTTCTGGCCCCCCTTTAAACAGTCAACTGTCTCGTTTAGGAATTGTTTCTCGGAGTCAGAAATGTACGGATGAGTGTTGGGCGTACTGTAGCACAGGACAGTCTAAAATAAATAAAAATATGCATTTTATTAAAAATCTAAACAATCAACTGATCATTTCATGATTATTCCATAGGGGAGAGACCGCAGATGATAGAAGATAATATGATAAAAATGTATTGAGATCGAGCAATCTCGTTTTGATCAAAATCAAATAGGTTACGCACTGCTCAAGGACATTTACGATTATAATGTTAGTCGTTTGCTAGTCTATTCACTAGCGTCCCCGCGGACTACCGTTGAATTATTTGTCGGCTAGGTCCAGCTGTATGAACAAGTATGAAAATTTATGCTTTATATCGATTTGGTATCGACCGATTCTTCATACATATTAGAAGCTGACGAAACCACTGACCGGTAAAAAGGCTAGCCTGCGAGGACCCTTAAAGGTAGATATTTTACATCACATGATAGAGTTATCACTTACCCAAAGTAAAAACCATAAGATTCCAATTAATCCAAACACGTAGAACACGTCCTCCCAGTTGCCATTGTACAGGATCAGTCCTGAGATGTAGGTGCCGGCGATGTTCCCAATCTGGGCCCCCCCGAAGACTAGAGATCCAAACCTGGCCCGTTCATGCTTAGGTGCCCAGCGCGATACCATGGCCATTAGACCTGGCATAGTTGGACCCTAAAACGAAATACTGCTATCAGGTCTTCAAGTATTTTATTGACTATTAAACACTTAAATATTCATGAGCATTCTCTCTCTAATTTAACTGAGGCAAATGGATGATTTGTATAGAGAAAAATATGATAATGACATCTTTAGTAAATGCAACTAAGAGTAGCTCACCTCTCCGAAACCTTCAATGGCTCTCAATATGAACAAAGCAGGGGCTCCTCCCATTTTGACCGTGATGGGAGTGATGATGGTACAAACGGCGGTGCAGAGGAGGCCCAGCCCGAGGACCCACTTCCCTCCGAACCTCTCGGCCAACATGCCTCCAGGGATGTGAGTGAGGACGTAGCCGTAGTAGAACGAACTAAGGAGTAAGCCCTGAGTAGCCTCACTCCAATCGAACAGAACTACCTAGAGCAAATAATTTTTGCTTGTTCATATTGATGTGGATTAAAGTTAAGAAATTCACTTTAGGCTGAGATAAATCGTCAGGGATATCCAAATACAAGTATCTTGATCAAGATATACGACTGTATTCACAAACATTACTATGAGGTCTTACAGCGCGTGGACACGCAGGGTGCCACACGAACCAATCACAGAGCTCTATTCAACGCTGTGCAATTTGCTGCTTCACTTAGCAAGCATCGTTTGTGAATACGGGCGTTGAATCTTGATTCTTGGTATGAAATAAGATTATCAAAGAAAATACTTACATCGTTCTCGACGTATTCTGTTGTACTCGTAGTATTGGAACTACTGACTAGAGTGGTCAGATCAGGGCAGGCGTAAGGGTCGTAACTCCCTGACTCACTGCTCTCTTTCTTGACCATTTGGGTTATGGCTATGTTCAAACACACCCTCATGGTGTATGCGTTGGCTATGGCGAACAGCGCCATGATAGCCATGACATACCTCTGGGGTATTATGAATACTGAAAAGTAAAAGAAAAAACAATATAAAAAAACATCAATCTCCAAGTTTTTATACAACGTGTTAATTACGCAAAACCTCAGACACCCCAACTTATTTTTATTATAAAAGAATTATGAAAATTATTAAAATTAATTTTCGCGGATTATTTACGAAGATCTTCACTCTCTTTTTGTTTTCGCCGCGCGCACTTGTTATCTCTTTTTTACGCATTTCTGGCAACGTATTGAACTTTTACACGCTGATTGCAAGGCATGCACGCCTATGAGTAGGTTACTAGTTAACGTAGATAGTTCATTCACCTCTGATAATAGAGTAAGTAACACGGCGTAATTGAAATATTTTTTTGTTAAAATTTGACCCAAATTTTTTATTAGTGGAATCGATTCTACTCTCGATTCCGAACAAGCTAATTTCAGGTTTTGCGCTTTTTCATTAACACCTTGTAGATACCCATACCGATACTGAAAGAGTTTAATACAAGAGCTCCGGGCAAAAAAAACGAATCAAAAAATATGCTCTATGGTACTTTAGACTTTCTCTTTATCGCCGTTTTGTTACACGGCGGTTTTATTGTGTTTTCTCCGCAATAAATTAATTATTTGCAAGTCGAGTTTCTGGATGCTCAACACAATAATATTCATGTTAATAATCATCCCTGTATGATTATTCGGAAAATATGTATTTATTCCCTTGGAGGGAGGGAGCATAAAGCCGTTGATCGTTAATCCACGTCAGTCAGACTCCTATGACGGCTAATGCGTATTTTGACAGCAGGGATAACCGCATCATTTACAGAAGACAAAATCGCAAAAATGTGCTAGAATAAAAATGTTTACCAAAAAATAAGAGCTACTTACGTTTGGATAAAATGAATCTCCATCCCGTCAACATTGTGGTTACCTTTTAGATCTGTAGATGAACGCAAAAAAAAAACAATTAAAGCAAGTCTGATTTTTAACTCTTGCAATTACTTCATTATGTTTCCACTTTAACGATTCTATCGTTTACCCACCTACTTAATAATCGATAAAATGCACAAAATTCAGCATGTCTACTTTTTTAAAATGTATTAAAGGTAAAAAAAAAAAGTACTTACTGTAATATCCTTCGTAAAACCAACTATTTTATTTTTTCATTGATACTTAAATATTAATGTATTGTTACTAAATTGCCATTGCTACCTTTTAAGCTCCAAGATTAAACTAAATTTGGTTAGGCTGCGCTTGCCTTGTAATAGTGTTGTGATTTGGATCTCTCTTTGTTATCTGACGTTATCATTATATTTAGCACTCTTGGACAGTAAAATGATGACAAAGGGAATGCACGTGTCGTGATTTTCGTATAGGGTTGTCAGAATTGCCAAAACAAGTAAGAAAACCTCTCTAAAAACAATTTGTCTCAAATGAGATTCGGTTTGTCATCGTGGTAATTCGTTTCACGGCTTCTGCCGCTACTCACGGGGAGGGCCCGAGCAAAGGAGTCGCTCTACGGGAAGGCTTACTGCATTCCCCCCCCCCCCCTAATTATGTAGTTTCTGTGATTAAATAACATTCAGCTTGTAGGTATGTACCTACACTCATATGTTTTTTTACTCATGCTTAAATATACTAAATTAAAAGTTAAAATAAAATTCTATAAAGCCTTTTCCTGTAAACATTTTTAAAATAAATTCTATAAAACGAAATTCTCAGTTTATTTGGAAATTGCTTAATTGTAAGATCAAAAGTATTATTAACAATATTTTGGCACACATGCCACAGTGGCAATGCCACTACGAATTAATTGCTCAATAGTGACATGCTTTCGTGCTAGTATGAGCATGTGTAACCTTTAACCTAGAAAGACGAAAAGATTTAAGACGGCCAATTCACAATGCAAACTTCCTGCACAACGAAAAATAAATTAATAAATTAATTTTAAAAGATCTTGTAACCATCACGCTGCACTGCAATGTTTCAATTCGTGTCTGACAACCCTAAACTAATCGTAGATCTTAATCGTCGTAAGAAATCAGAGGTTTCGCGTTAAACGAAAATATCTCTAGTGGTTTATTACTTAAGGGGGCAATAGCAAGCCAGATCTTGAAAAATCACCAACTACTTATTGCACGTGAGAGGTATTACGTCGTAAGTGTGACTTGGTACGGTTATCTCAAAAGTATGCCAATTGGAGAGGATAGGTATGTTAAATGTCATTTGAACCATTTTACGTAAAATGGATAAGATTAATGACGATTATTTATTGGTTTTCGACAAAGCACGCGAAGTAAACCTGATATTTTGACCATAACGCCGAATTCAATGGTTGAATCTGCTGTATAAAATGAGACCCAAGATTTCAAGTTCTTGGGATTTTCAAAATTGAAGAAGGATTGGATCTTAAAGATTCCAAGATGCGAACATAAAAATAGTAAAGGTTCAATTCTCAGTGGTAGCAAAGTGTTCGGTTTGGTTGGTAGCGCTAGTTCTGAGCCCGCCTAGCTACTCGTAGCTACCAACATCTTGTTCTGTCTTGTTGTGTTTTGACAGTAGGATGTAAGATAGCCAGTTCCTGTGGTAGAGGACTCCGGGTGAAGCTCGCTTCCAGCTTCAGCCTGATCATCATTTTCCATCAGGTGAGATGCAGGAAAAGATTCCCCGTTGTGGGAAAAAAATCATGGCAAGAAACTGGATATCTAAACCGCTACTGCGTATTGAAAGTATACATAACGCATTTAGTGTTTTTTACAATATGTACGAAAAACTTTCAGAAATTAAACAGGATTTCTAATTTCTTTGTTATTACTATGTGATCTTGTCAAAAACCACTTGTTTTAATTTAACTTAAGCTGAAACGGGACTGGCCCTAAGCTCATAATTGTAGTTTTCTACACTAATATTATAAAGAGGAAAACTTTGTTTGATTGTTTGGTTGTAATGAATAGGCTCAAAAACTACTGGACCGTTTTTTTTAATTCTTTCACCGTTCGAAAGATACATTATCCACGAGTAACATAGGCTAAATTTTATTTTGGAAAATAATAGGGTTCCGTAAAATATGTAGATAATGTAGTCCACGCGCGCGAAGCCGCGGGCAGAAAGCTAGTTAATTATACAAAGAATCGTAATTATCGGCTTAAAATGTGCCTGTAAGTATCTACGTATCGATGATGTTGCAAGTAAATCATTTTCTAGAGGTAGCAATCATTTCCTACCCAGGTAGACCGACGACCTGCAAAAGGTTGCGGAAAGTAAAGTAAAGAAAGGTTTGGCTACTTTTGTAGTAATGAAAATATGTAAAGAAAGTTATTGGAATAAAATAAATCTTGCAAACAAAATTGCACATAATGTTTTTAATATTTTTTATGACATTGAGAAAATAAACTCAAACGATACAGTCTAGCTGGAAGACGATGAAATCAAAGATTATATCTTAAAGATTATTTGAAAAATGTATACATATTTCGAAACTGTTATCATGATAATTCTGATGATGTGTCAAATATGATCACTATCAGTTTCAAAGCCATCTTCAAATCGAATGTCATACTCTTTTATTTTTCTTATTGCTTGCGTATCGCACCTATCCATTACAATAACAAGTATCTACTGAAACACTACCTACTATTATCATTCATAGTATCTAGGTATACTTAAACCTTTTGTTTTGACGTTATCTCTTATCACCAGACGCACTTTCTGGAGATAAGTATTCCGATCTGTGTGCTTACCATGAGTTTACGTTAGGTGTGCTCGCTAGCGACTGCGTAAAAAATTGACATTAATTTGTATGACATATTGTGCAGCGCCCCTAGTGGCTACTTTCAAGAAACAAAATCTTCATAGAGATTTTTGACGTACTCGCTAGCGAGCACACCTAACGTAAACTCATGGTAGGTACACTGTTCTCCCAAACCGATCCATTCCATGTCACTGCGATATTAAGAGTAGGTATTACCTATCTATTGCTTTTAAGTTCCCGTCTGATACTAGAAATTTTAGTTGCTTGAACAATCTAGTTATGTCTGCTTAAAGATTTTCATGATCGTTCGTATCTGGTTTGTTTGGTATGAAAAACAGAAATTGAAAAATTTTCAGCTTCCTGAATTTTTCTCTGTGGGCCTTGCCACGAACTCAATAACCTTTGAGGTACCTAAATGAGTTGTGTTTTGGTCATAGAAAGTTATGAAGACAAAATCCCTACCTACAACAGGTTTCCATATATGTATAAACCATAACCTATTGAAAAAAACAATGTGTGTCTAGTCTGCAGTAGTTAAAATTAATATTTTCGACACATAAATGAAAATTTTAATCAGTGTAATATTTACTAGCCAATAACAAATAGATCCAGAGTTCTCCGGATGACACAATAAATTAGTTTGGCAGAAAATAGACATTCGTCGTAGTAAAAACTATCTTATCTCAATAACGTTGAGTTGTATGCGCATGAGATGTTACGCACTTTATTCTCAACATTTCACAACTTACTTAATAGGCCAGTAGAATTAGATTTTTTGTACACGGTATAACCGTCAAACCGCAAAAATGCCCCTTTCGGGAAGCCCCACCACTTAAGCACAACTCCGTCGAAGTCGAAAACCTAGGATAGTCTTAATTAGCAACAAATGAAGCCATTAAAACAATAAAACCTTTTGTAGGAATTATTTCCGATTTGATTAATATTCATGTCTTATTCTACTGGCCTATACAGCAACTTTGTTCGTATCATTTATTTATAATGTATGTGTGTAATCTTTTTTAAGTTTTCTTTGTATAGTTTTCTAAGAATTTAATAATTACAAATTCTATAAGTTTTTGTTCACTGATAGTGATATCTATTGAAATAGGATACTTAACCAAACTTTATGCACTTAATAAATGTACTATTCTGTCAAAATTATGTAAAAGGTTTATCGTGTCGTAGCATTTGTTGCTGACGATGACGACCTTGGTGCACGATACAACGTTAGATTTTTACAGCTTACACGATCCAAAAATATCTATTAGGGAAATAAAACGCGTGTTATTATGATAATAAGGTTTCTTGTTCGATTAATACTAGTTTACAATAAGATTACTTTACCATTTCCTTACGAATTAGATATAATAATTAGGTGTATGTTCACAATGTACAAATTATGTTAGTTTTGTCTTAGAGTTAAATTCAGAAAACAGTCCGCCTAGCCGTTGGGCGCAAGGGCACTTTATGTACTTCGCTGGGGGAAGCCGCGGTGCTCCAGCATTTAACACTTCAACGTCGACGACAGTTGGGCAAGGTGGGGTAAGAAGGACTCGATGTGAGACTTTCTATCCCTTCAGTCATAATCTATATATATAAAAGAAAGTCGTGTTAGTTACTTCGCTTATAACTCAAGAACGGCTGAACCGATTTAGCTGAAAATTGTCAGGGAGGTAGTTTAGAGCCAGGAGAAGGACATAGGATACTTTCTATCCCGTTATTTATTGCCATTAAGGCGGAACAAAGTTCGCCGGGTCAGCTAGTAACAGCATAAAGGGTGAGCGAAAGAAATATAGATAGCCAATTATAACCCTGTCACGGACTTAATGGTGCAACGCAAACTCCTTAGGCACTGAAATGTATTTATTTTAGTGCCTTATCATCATCATCATCTCAGCCATACGACGTCCATTGCTGAACATAGGCCTCCCCCCCCCCCCCCCCCCCCCCNGCGGCCTGCGTCCAGCGCCTTCCTGCTACCTTTAGGCTGGTTTTAGTGTCACGCGGACTGTAAGTGCGGATCGCTCCGCATAGCCGATCTGTATGAACTGCTCGGGAGCGGAGCGGTTCTTCCGGACCGCATTACTCTAAAACGCTCCCTAGAAGTTCATACAGATTGGCCGTGCGGAGCGGGTCCGTACCGGACGGTCCGCGTGACACTAAAACCAGCCTTAGTGCCTTAGGAATTTACATAATATGGACTATAGTCGTTGGCAAGGCCTTTTGGAATTCTTTATTTTTTTCACACACATAGCTGGACTGAAAGTAGGTACCTATTTAACGCATTACATTTCAATAATAATAAATAAGGTAACTAAACCGCATGTAAGAAATTGCTGACTGGAAGAAAATATTTCACCGACTTACCCCAGCCTGCCCTCAATCATACAAAACTTGTTCAATAAGGCAATCGTTTCCTAGTGGCAATCTTACGAGAGAAATACCTTTATAAATACTAGCACCTTATGT